CGGAATTTTCCATTGTCTATGTGTTGTTGCTAGTATATGTATATATATATATATCCATAATAAAATCCACCCTTCCTGACCTTATTCCTGTTCTTTATCATATCTACAATTTTTCACTGCAGAACTCCATATTCCCATCCTCCTGGAAAACCGCCCTAGTCCGACCTTTGAATAAAATTGCCAATCCTACCTCACTGCACGACTTCCGTCCTATTTCTCTCCTATCCAACCTCTCAAAGCCGCTAGCACGCCTTGTCCAAAATCAGCTCTCAAACTTCCTAGAGGAACGTTCCTTTATCAACCCATGCCAATCTGGCTTCCGACCCGGCTATTCAACGCAATCTGCTCTCCTTAAAATAACCCATGACCTACAAAACTCCATCGAACACCAAAACCTTACTATCCTCATCCTTCTAGATTTTTCCAAAGCGTTTGATACAGTTGACCATAACATCCTTCTTACCAAATTGCAAAACCTTCCTCTATCCAACAGTGTCCTGCATTGGTTCAAATCCTTCCTTTCCAATCGATCCCAGTATGTAGTAGTCCCTGATCAACCTCCTTCAAACACACTTCCCCTCTCCTGTGGTGTCCCTCAGGGTTCCTCTCTCTCTCCTACTCTGTTTGCTATTTACATCAATGATCTTCCCCTCCAGATCCGTCACTCCCGATACCACATCTATGCAGATGATTTCCCAATATACCTTTCCTTTCCGCCCTCCGACCTATTATCTGCTACAGAAAAACTTCAAGAAGACTTAGATGGAATTTGTGACTGGGCAAGAACAAACAAGCTGAAGTTGAATGCGGATAAGACAAAGGCAATCTTAATAGGCTCCAATCACCTTCTTAAAACTGTCCCTACTATTCCAACTCTGTTCCTACATAATAACCCTATCAAATTTCACCCCACCATCAAAAATCTTGGAATAACCATTGATCAAACGGTTTCTTGGAAAAATCATATATCCAATATTTCTCGCCGTACCATTTCCATCCTAAAACGTCTTAACTACTCCCGTCACCTATTTCCTTTTGAAACCCATAGGCTCCTAGTCACTTCCTTAATTTTTCTCCACTTTGATTATTGCTGTACGGTATATGGGGGCCTCTCTGGGGATCTCGAGGCGAAACTAAAACGTTTGATAAATTGCTTTGTATGATTCATCTTCGGGATCCCAAGGGACGCCTCTGTTTCCCATTTTTACACGGAGTTAAAGTGGCTTTATCCTTCCTACCGTCGTAAGTATTTCCTGGCATCCTTCCTCTTTCAAGTCATCCAATCCCACCGTCCCTCATACATCTCCGAGCTCCTTCGATTCAAATCCTCTGTTCGTTCCCGCAATACTCATTCCCGGTCTTCTGATTTATACATAAGGGCCCACCGAACCGCTGCTTTTGACAAATCGTTTATTATCCGATCCTCATCTCTATGGTACTCCATCCCTTCCCATATCCGTCAATCTAATACCCTTCCTACATTTAAATCCCGCCTGTTCAATCATTTCTTATCCATCCAGTCCCCATAAAATCGTAAATAGATACTACTGAAAATATGTACATAAATTATTAGTTCGTTCTTCATTATTTGTACACCAATTTTTGTTTATCTATTTTTTTTTTTTCTCTTTTATTATCAACTGATCAAAATTGGAAAGCAACTTATATGTATATGTGTAAATATATATATTATTTTTTTTAACCAAGACTGTTCAATTACTCTGTATTTTTATTTATATATCTCTGAGGCTCCTTAGCCCTCATTTCTGTCTTCCTGTATTATTCTAAAGGGACTCGTCCCAGAATAAATAAAGTATTATTATTATAATATACATATATATATATATACATATATTTTAATGTATATTTTTTTTAAAAGTACAATAAACAGGTTTTCATTCAATATAAAGATGGTCGGGTCGTCTATAACAATTGTACATTATAACAACGAAATTTACCAGGTCTCTTAAGGTCATTATAAACGACATCCAGTATATATTAATTCAAAAAGAATATTTTAGAATTAAAAAAATTTCCTGACTTTAACAATTTTTCCCTGACTTCTCTCTGACTTTTACCAGTTTTGAAAATTTCCTGACTTTTCCAGGCCATTCGCCAACCTGAAAAATGAACTAAGGACCTCAAAACAAGAAAAAAGTTGAAGGTATGTATGCAAACGCTTTGTTTAGGAGATATTCACACCTAAAGATTTTTGTTGTTATGAATTATTTACGTTATATAAAATAAATAAAACCTATTTATTTGTTTTAACTACTTTATTAATTAAATGTAAGCAATAAAATTCGTATTAAATGTTGTTCAAAGTGAAGGTATGTCCGCAAACAGTTTGTTTAGGAGATGGATTAGATAGAATACTAATATGGCCTTTTATCCCTAACTGTATAAAAACTATTGGCAACATAAGGATTAATACTATTTGGAATTAGCATTGGGAATTCTCAATAACATTCATCAGTTTATAAGAGACTTTCACAGAGTACTCATCATTATGCCTCCCATTTATACTAATGGTGAAAATGACGATATGGTGTGTGTATACGGTTTTTGCAATGCTAATGCTGCCCGTCGTGAATATGACAGGCGATTTCCGAATAGATTACCAAACAATTGAATCACTGCAGATGGACTTCACCCATATCATTATCAACGGATACAAAATTTACTATCGCAAGATTTTCGACAAAGAAGACATTTTTCAGATTGGTACTTAAATCAAGTTGAGCGTAATCCACAATTCTCAGGAAAAATTCTCTCAACAGATGAAGCTCCCTTTTACTGAATGATTACTATGATTTAGTTCAACATATTCCACTTCAACTGAGATGGGACATTTGGCTTCAATTAGATGGTTGTCCAGCAAATTAAGAAAGAGGTCCAGAACAATGGCAAATGTTAATTATCCTAATCAATGGATTCGCTGTGCAGGACCAGAGGCTTGGTCTGCACACTCTCCAGACCAGATCTTTTTCTTTGGGGAGACATTAAACAAAAAGTCAATGACCTTAATTCCTTACGAAGAAGGATAATTGAATCTTGTGAAACAATAACACATATCCAGTGCCGTTCTGCCACTGCTGCTGTTGAAGAAAGATGCCGAGCCTGTCTTAATGCTTATGGGAATCACTTTGATCAACATTTAATATGAATTTAATGTTTATGTTTAGTTAATAAAGTAGTTAGAACAAATAAATAAGTTTTATTTACTAACTATAATGTAAATAATTCATAACAATGAAAATCTTTAGGTGTGAATATCTCCTAAACAAAGCATTTGCGGACATACCTTCATAGAAATTTTTTGTCTTATTTTGAGGTCCTTAATTCATATTTTCAGTTTGGCCATTAAAACTCTGAAACACTCGGGAGTTGCCTGTAAAGGGGCAAAAATACCATCAGCAAATGGTATTATAGCTAGTGTACCAGTTACTCTAAGATGTTGAAAGGTGGAGCTAAAGATACACTTGTTTGGTAATCTTCTATTCGGAAATCACCTGGTATATTCATGAAGGGCAGCATTAGTATTACCATTGCAAAAACCGTATACAAACATCATATCGGCATATTCATCATTAGTATAAATGGAAGGCATAATGAGTACCCTGTGAAAGCCTCTTACAAAATGATAAATGTTATTGAGAGTTCCCAATGCTAATTCCAAATAGTATTAATCCTTATGTTGCCAATAGTTATTATACAGTTAGGGATAAAAGGCCCTACTAGTATTCTATCTAATCCATCTCCTAAACAAAGTGTTTGCGGACATACCTTCACTTTGAACAACATTTAATATGAATATTAATGTATACATTTAATTAATAAAGTAGTTGGAACAAATGAATAGGTTTTATTTATTTCATATAACCTAAATAATTCATAACGACGAAAATCTTTAGGTGTGAATATCTCCTAAACCAAGCATTTGCGGGCATACCTTCAGAGGAATTTGTTTTCTTGTTTCGAAGTTCCTTATTTCATTTTAGCAGTGTGGCCACTAAATCTCTGAAACACCCTTCATATTACATACACAGAAAAGCTAAAGTAAAAACCAAAGAGTTCTATTTCTTAATTCTCTAAATATTAATTGAAAATTGCCAAAGTATACTTACTACACTACATAATTTTCTTTCTCATAGCGTTTTGTGATATCTAGGTATGGGTAATAAATTTTAAAGTGTTCACATTCTAATGTGTGATAATTTTGTGCCTATAAATATAAAATATTTTGTTCAAAATAAACTCATTTAATGATGGAATTTGGTGTCAATAATTGGATAATTTATTTTTGCATGTCAATAATTGGTACAAAATTTGTCATCTATTGTGGTCACAAAAAATTAAAAACTTTATAATACTTTGGCCAATATGAATGTATGAAAAACTTTATAACATTCGCTTAGATTAATAAAAAAGTTATTAGTAGAGAACATTTTCCTTAAAGCATCAATAATTGGTGACTTTATCCTTGTAATTTTTTAGATGAATATCCCGCAGAGCACTGAAAGCTCTAAAAGATAAAATAAATGAGACTGTAGAAAGAAGGGTGTTGTTTTTCTTACTTCAAGTATAATTACACAGTCTACCCATTAAACATTTTTTTTTTAATTTCCATTATTAATTAGTATTCCTTTATTTTTATTTTAACTTTATTTATTTGTTTTTTTTATTCAGGACTAATAATTTTATTTGTAACAACATCTACTATAATTTTATTATCTTACTAAATCTTTCACTTAGTATTGTATGTTCTCTTAATATATCAATCTCCTCCCACCATGATTATTAGTTATATTAGTAAATAACAGAAAACAGTCTAATTATCCTAATACATATATATAACCTTTTGAATACTCGCAACTGAGAGAAAGATTTGTATTTTTTATCCTACATATATGCATTAATACAAGTGGGTATTAAAAACTTTATAATTTTAATATTAATATCTGAATCCCTGATCTAAATAATTATAAATTAGTACTTACTAGGCATTTTCTTGAACTTTGGAAAAGAGTAAACTCCATATGCCTTATTAAAGAAGAAAGAACTTAAATGTGGTTTTCTCATGTAATAATAAATAGTAGCGATATTGTTGAAATAAATTAGGATCTTTTCATCACCAAGTTTCCTAAAAAAAAAAAAGAATGGATAAATAAAATTATAGAAACACAAATATAAACATAAAATGAAATTATGCAAAATACTATTGTTATTATTATTGTATTTAAAATATTGTTAAACATCAGAGATATTAATTATAAAGCTATAATCATAGATTTTATTTAAAACATAAATTTATATACTCACACAAAATTATCTACATCTTCCTGGATTAAAATTATTTCATTCAATGCATCTTCATATTGCATATTTAACAGGGATAACTGCGCTTTCATCATGATAGTGGAGAAAGTCTATAAAATTGTTAAAATTGATGAATAATAAAATATACATTCATATAAACAGTAGAAAGTAGAAAGTTAATTAACTGAGCTTACTGTGAAGAAAGTTCATCCCAGACAATCAAAAACAAATGATAATATGCTGAGATAAAAATAACGTTTGATTAAAAATGTAACATCAGACTATTAATTAGAGGTTTACATTAATGATTTTAATGTAGGAAATAACCATACCCTTCATTTAATTCAATCAGCTTTTGAACTTACCAACAGATGGTGTTCTTTAATTTGTTTTGTTTTGTTTAAATGTAAAAAGTGTATCAAGGGACAGTTAGATTAAGACCTTGGAAGACATACTTGTGAATCAATATTTACTTTTTTAATTTAGTAAATATTATAAAAAATAAGCATTTTCATAGTAAATAACTTTCCATTCTGTGAGCCTATATTTCCAATAAATAATAAGTTTAATTTACACACATAAAAATATATTTTTAACAAGTTAGCTGCACTTACGATCACCGGCGTCCTATAGCTTTATATCAGATATAATCATTATTTACATTTGTATCTATCTTTACATCTAGCCAACTCCCATTGAAATATTTTTAAAAATGACCATTTTGAGACTTTGTAAGGTAGGCAAAATTCGAAGTCGAGAGAAATATCGGAATCCAGGGACCGTAACTACAGCTAACGTGTTAAAAAGAAGGCTGCTTTTATCAGTGATGAAGAGTTTTATAACAGATGAAGAGGATATAATGGACACCATAGATCGGCTCAAGAATAATAAAGCACCAGGTGTGGATGGAATACTGGCTGAACATTGAAAAAACGGAGGGAAAGTTATCTCTAAGTATATTGATAACCTGATCGTAGACATCTGGGTGGAGGAGTGCATTCCTGAAGAATGGTACAAAACTATTATGTACCCCATTCTACAAGACAGGAGATCTTAACTGTGAGAACTACAGAGGAATATCCCTCTTTCCCTCTGCTTATAAGATACTTTCCAATATCCTTTTACAGTGTTTATTACCTTTTGTTAAAAAGAAAATAGGCCAATATCAAGCAGACTTTATGAAAGACAAAGCTACTACAGAACAAATCTTCTCGGTGAGGATGATGAAGAAAGCATCTGATTATAATACACAGGCACACCACATCTTTGAGGATTTTCAAGCTGCCTAGGACAGTATGATTCGAGAAGATTTATTATGATGGAATGGTCATTCTTGACATCCCTCCGAAGCTAGTCAGCCTTGTCAGAATGACCATGAAGGCTATTCAGTGCTCTGTGGGAGGAGTTGAATGTGTGATGGTATGATCATTGATGACTAAAGGAGGAAGAAAGGAGCTGGATTTAAGGAGAGAACTGGAGCCTATAGCAATAGCCTGAGTTTTCATCACGTTTAGCCTTAAATTATTCGAACTTGACACTGATCCTATCTAGATTTGCTTGAATATTGGGGAACGCAATGAATAGCTCAGAGCGGTGAAAGGACAAATAGAACTGGAAGACGTCAGCGTATAGATGGTGTTAACAGTGGTAAATGGAAATGAGGACATCATTTATATAGGAATTACAAAGGAGAGGGAAAAATGTTAGAATCCTGGGTCACTCCGGAGGACAGTGTAAGGAAGATAAGGATTGATTTGTAATACTAACTACTTGAGTCCGGGAAGAAAGGAAAAACTGATACCAAAGAATAAAGCTGTTGGAGAAAGATAGAAATTTTAATTTAGTGTAAAGAATAGAGTGATCTAAGGAGTCGAAAGCTTTAGAAAAGCTGAGAATTATTAACACAGTTAGATATTTACTTTCACTTACCTATATATGTAATATATAGTAAGGGTAAATATTGTGATCATGAAAAATTTCAAATCTGAGTTTTGAATGGAAATACACATTTTGAGGTCCCATGAGTCCAAATAGCCAAGTCGCACAAGATGGTCTGTGTGTGTGTGTGTGTGTGTACAATTTTCTCAAAAACGGATCTAATGATTTTGATTTATGCAAGAAATTTCAACAAAGAGGAATTCAATGTGAGGATAATTGGTAGGAGATGGGACATGTAGGATATGGGATTTCATGATATTATGGACATAAAGACCAACAACACTGCCAGTCTGGGAAATCTGGTCATGGCGAATGAAGGTATAATCAGTTAAGGAAACAGAAAAGGAAGAGATATAGGGTTTAAGCCATGTTTCGGAGATAGCAATATTGTAGTAAAAATTATGGGTGAAATATAGTAGAAATTCATCAATGTAAACGGGAAGGGATTGTGAATTTACGTGACAATTAATTAAGACGCTAGACCTAATGGAAAGGATAAAAGTAAGCATTATATGATGGGTAGACACTGGAAGTGGGAGAAAGCATATATGGGTCAGTAAAGTCGGAAGTTGGAGAGAAGACACTGGAATAAATATGAAGATTATCCCTCTTTATTTTATAAAGAAATAAAGTAATAATTAAAATATAACAAAAAAACAGATTAAAAAGAAAAAATGTGAGAAAGTAATAATAACATAATATACAATCCCAGATTTTTAATGTAAGTCTGAAGAATACACCAAACTTTTGATGAATATTGAGGAGTAGAAAGAGTTCTAACAGATAGTTAAAGACATCCAGGTCTTAATGCTGGTCAATGAAGACCACATGGTGACTGTCGTCCTTTCACCACTGTACTATGCTGGAGAACCAGATGAATTTTATTTTTTATAATAGGTAAATTAATTTCCACACAGTGGACAGAAGAACAAGGAGTAAACAAATCAAGAAGGTAAAGTTTTTTGGTTGTAAAGATTCGGAAATGGAATATTGCCGTCGGAAAACTGGATATAGTCACTTCATCTCTGCATAATAACTGAAGACGTGGGAGTGCCTGGGGACTCTAATGATGAATCAATGAAACAATTCATTAGTCCCTTCAATCTCATACAATGCCCACCAGACGGTCTACCATATACAAGGCAATAAAAGATGAAACTAGGAGGCAAAATTTAGAATGGTATTCAGAATATTTTAAAGAAAATAACAAAAAATAGAATCTAAAATTTGGTATCCACAGAAATTTTTTATTTTCATAACTCATGATGAATTGTATTTCAAATATCCCACCATACACATCATCAAATTTTTATTTCTTGGATGTTTGCTTTCAGATTATATTGTCATATAATAATCAATTTTTCATCATCTGTAACAAATCTGTCATAAAAAGAATCAATTTTTATCCAGAATAGCAGTGATTAACATGGTCAATTCTTTATTCGATTCACTGATATTGGTAGGTAACCATATTCTTGACTTGGTAAGGTTCCCTAATTTCTTCAGGTGAGGTCAACAGTAATAGTTGTTTGAGAAATCTTTGGTTTAATGATGTAACTTTCGCTCTAATATTTTTAGATTGGAAGGACATCCAACTATCAGTTAATCATTGTTGTATCTTAAGAAAAAAAATTTGGCAGACCATTTTTAAACCTGGTATAACTGATTTATTTTTCAGTGTATAACTCAAGTATCTTTTGAGCAGTAAAACTCAACAATATTGTATTGCTTAACTATTTGGGAGATTCTACTGTACTGATGGTTAGCAAACAGAAACTAAAGAATAAATGAGTGATGGTTCATTAAGTAAAAGTAAGTAATAAATGTCAGTCATAACAGCCATGCGTGTAAATAAATCTAATGATATCACAATAAAGAAATATAATAAAAATTAATAAATTATTGTTTAAAAAAAAATTATACCGTACCTGACTACCTAAACTAAAAATATAGTCAAGAATTTTACGACAATTCGCATATGACCGAGTATGTAGTAAACAGCGAGCTTTATAATGTAGCAAGTTCAGTTTGAAGGATGGACTATTCCTCTTAACTAGCTAGAAAAAAAAATTGTAAACAAATTAATTGTTATAATTTTGTATCAAATGCATAAACATGAAATATCAAATGAGAAAAATAAAAGTTTTTAGTTTGTTTCAATATCTAATATATATTCTAAATAGCAAAAAAGTGTTCTCCATTCCTTTGACTTGATTAAAACAAAAATAAATATTTATACAATTTTATATGTTTATTTATTAATATAACATTAACCGATAGAATTCAAATAAAAGAAAGAGCAAAACTCAATGATTCAATGTAATTCAAAACAAAAGTCTTAAACATTGATCTGCTGAGGAAACTCGTTCTTTTAACTAGTTTCTCAAATAACCATAAAACTAAGCTCCTTTAGGAGTATTTCAGTTGCTAATTAAAATACAATAAATCAAATTTTATTTAAATAAAACTGGTACATTTTTGGGAGTTAAAACACAAGATACCCGGTAAATTCTGAAAGAACCTAATGGGGTCTTGACGTTCACATAAAAATCTTCACAACTCAATTAGTCTCCTCCTGACTTACCACAGTGTCAATATTGAATCTTAGTACACTGTTCATATCTTCATAACTTCATTTATTTTGGAAAGAAAATCAGAAACGGAGAGTAAAATTCCCTAACCCCCAAGAAATTTTTAATCCAATAGTACCCCATTTGTGACATTTAAGCATGACAGAAGCTTATTTCAGTGTAACATTGATTTTGAGCATTAGGGAAAATATGTAGGGATTTGTTTGGTGTTTAGCATTTAATTAAGAAAAATAAATTAAATATTATAGCAATAAGGTTATATACTAATTATTGAACTTGACTGCCAATATTTGATTATATTTGTTTCGGGTTCCCGAAATTTACTAAATGCAGGAGTACTAAAGTTTGTAGGAAATATCTTCGAAATGGTCATAATGTATCTACCTGTAATTCCAAATTTCGATACCACACTTGTAATAAGTGAGGCAACTAGAGATCAACCGATACCGATATTAATATCAGCATATCGGCCGTTTGGCCCATTATCGAAAGCCGATATATCGGCTTTTTTTTTTTTTTTTGCTTATCCCATCCCCAGATCAGCAGGTAAGGATATCCTAAAGACCGATATACCGGCATTATGACCTTATTTAAAAGAGATTATTAGAATTTGATCATTTGTTTATTTTTTTGGTCTTCCTCCTCCATAAGTTGAGCAGATATGCAAAGACTTACTTTACCGATATATTGGCCTCTTTCACATTGAATTTTATTTTTATTGCAACTAATGTATCAACCATTCGTAAAGCGATCAAAATTAATCGCTACCAAATTTTTCTGTCCTCTTGAATGATATATCAGCCTTACAAAATTATTTAATCGAGATTTTAAGAATTTCACTTTGAATATTATTTTTATTGCTAATAAATGCATCAATTAGGGGGGGCAAATGGATAGGGTAACGGGAGGTCTAAAGAGGGAGATGGGTGCGGGAATCTCCCCCAACTCTTTGCAGAGCGATCGAGCGTCAGTGCCCAACCCACTGCTTGTGAGTTCCCAGATCTCCTTATCCCTATCAACGCCTACTGTCACCTCCATCTGGCGCCCCCAAGGGAGTCGGATGGGACTCGCGGACGACAGAGGCGGGGTTCATCGCTTCTATCCATATGTATGCAGTTGATATATAGAGATAGAAATTATGAACCTGTTAGGCACCCAAGCTAGGTCCAGGCGCTCGAGCTGTGGCTGAATGGCAGAGGATGGGTAAAAATATACTGTCTTTTATCGACCCTCTTGGGGAATCGGGGGACACCCTATTGAATGTAATCCCGGCTGCAGGGAGAGGGGGTAGTACCTGTAGTTCCATTAGATCCCCATACTCGTGGGAACAAAATGTCCGGAAAAATTATGAAACAAACACTAATATTAAATTGACGGTATCCGAGGAGGACTTGTCCTCATCAGAGCTTTTAAATATAATGGAGGTCACCTCTGATACACTTGACGAATCTTTGGTGGGGAAACTTCTAAAGACCCTAACAGAGGATGTTGGCACACTTCACGTCCAAACGGAGTGGAAGGAGGAGGAAGTTATGGAAGTGGCCATTGCTATGGCGCAGGCACCAACAGAACTAATGGAAGTGGAAGATACAAATAAACCGGAAATGGGCATCACAGGTAGTAGCCCTTCAAATTCTAGGTTCGACCAGACGGAGGGCGGGGACCACGAGCCTAAGGACTCGAGGCCTGCCACGTCGAGGACGATCAACAATGTGAAAAGGCGTAACAGAAGAAAAGCAAAAGCCCTTCAACTGTTGAACACACAGGAAGAGAAGAGGCCACCTGCAGAGCACTCTGCTGAGGAAGCAAGGGTCCCAAAAGGCCTGGCGGACGAGGCAGAGATGCTCGAGAGGGAGGCCTCAGATCAAGGACAGACTACAAGCAAATTGGAGCCTACTCAAAGGCAGGTAATGGAGGATGCAAAGGCCCCAAAAGGTTTGGCAAACGAAGCTACTGTACCTGAGGGGAAAGCTTCAATACCACAGACAGGGGAAGGGAAGGAGACACCCAAAAGGCCAGCATCTAAGTTTGCGAGGCCACATAGGCCAGCAACTAAGACTGCGAGGCCTCAAAGGTGGAGGTCCAGTTCATGACTGACTGGAAAAACGTGCAAGAACATCCCTAGGAACCTCAGCTACAGCAGCTAAGAAACTGAGGGAAGCTGAAAGGCCCAAAAACTACGCTAAAGTAGCGAGAGGACTGAAAAATATTTGGTAGAAGACAAGTAGAAAATAAAATTTATAAAACTCTACAAATCTCGACAAAATTAAATCTTAAGGCCGATATATATTCGCCTGTAGTCACATTCATGTTTATATCGATTCCATGACGATTGATTGGCCAAATTATTATTAGTATAAATAATATTCCATGTGAAACTCTATGAATTATGATAAAATAAAGTCAAAAGGCTGATATAATGAGATATCCATGAGTTGGACTGAAAAATATTTGGAATAAGACAAGCATAAAATTAAAAAAAAAAACATGAGATAGTTTGATAATTTTTTTATTTTTTAAAATAATGTCTTGAGCCTAAAGCGTAAGCGTACGGTATCGGCCAAAATTTCGATAGCGGTCGATCTCTAGACACAACACGCTCATCCAAAGCCAAACAGCGAGTAGTATGAAGTCAGGGCACCTGATTCGAGGCTTAATGCAATGGCATCTGCAAAGACCTTCATTGGCTTTGGTTCTACGTTGTCAGCCCCTTCTCCAGAAAACACCATGGTACTCTTGGGAATTTGGTCCACATTCTAGTTAAGTCTCAAAGAGGAGACTACCATTTCGCCCATACTGTGTTAGGCTCAGAGAGCACATACTCATCACTGGTTCTTGCGCTCAAAAAATTGGCGTCTCGTAAAGTTTCATATGGAACTCCGATGGCATTAGCTGCATATCTAATGAAACATCCATCATCAATAAGTGGCACACCACGCGCAACATCCTCAGCACTAAGAGGCATTTTTGAACTTAATATTGAAAAAATTAAAAGCCGGAGACTAAGAAATGTGCTGCAAGAAACGGCACTGAATTAATGATACTGAATAAACATTTTAATTCCATAGAAAGTAAACATTGGAATCTAGAAACATTTCATTGAATTAGGGATTAAGGGTTATTGTCCTCTATATTAACATTTCTAATTAAAAACAAACAAAAAAATTACCTATTTATTCATTAAAAACAATAGACCAATCCAAAGCAGAAATATTTTTAGATGAAAACATGAAAAAATCAAGTGGGTGAAATTTTTAACCTGTCAGTGTATATATACATGCAAAGATACTAAGGAAAAACACAAATATGTACAATAAATACTGAAATATAAAAAACTGAATGAATAAAAATAAAATGGCTTCTATCAATTAACGGCTGGTGAAAAACATAATTATATAAGTTTCTTCAGTCTGGCCTCTAGTTCTGTGGACAGCCCTCCATACACCAGGGAACCGCAGTCAAAGTGGGGTAAAACAAGGTATGATACAAGGATCAATTTGATGTCCTTCCACAAGAAAGTTGCAATGGATTCCTGGGCACTGCGGCCTCTCTGGAAACAAAAGGGCAGACCAGCTGGCGAAGGAGGGGACCTTAAGTCAGGAGTTCGACTGTAAGCTCAGCCTAGACAAGGTTAAAACTCTTAACAAAGCTACAACTAATCAACGTTGGGTTAGAAACCATCAACATCACGATCCTAGAGATGCTATCCACAGGCTAATTTGATGAGAACAGGTCCTAATCTTCCGCCTGCGGGCACAACAGGGTCAAAGCCCACCTATTCAGAAATTTCAATATTGGTCCTAGTCCCCTCTGCGAGTGTGATGAGGGTGACCAGAATGTGCAGCGTATCCTGCAAACGTGCAGGATCTATTTCCAGCAAAGGAGTCTAATCTGGCCCTCTCCAACTGAGATGCAAATAAAGCAATACGGGAGCCTGGAGAACCTTAGAAAGACTACCAAATTCTTCATTTTAGTTCCTGACCTGGCCATCTGAAGGAAGAACACAGATAAAGAAGAAGAAGAAACGAGCATTTCATACGGCAATTCCGAAACATTTCATAAAAGATATAACAAGTACCAATAAACAAAATATCTTTTAATTAATATTAGTAACTGAAAAAATAGCATTAATACTTACAATACTGTCTGGTGTGTTACTAGTTTCATCCATAAGCTTATATGGCAAGAATTGGTTTTCAATATATGAAATATTTGAGATGCCTTTATCAGCTTGTTTGCAAAGCAAACACAGCTCGATCAGCAGGTAACAAACTTTTTGAGCCAGCCATTCTTCTATTAAAGGAAATAAAAGCAAATAATTAATATGAACTACAAAGAATAATGACCAACCATTTAATAACATATAGTACAATCAAACATAAACAGCATAACTATATTTATTTTAATAATACAATATAGGAACACTTGTCTTAAAAACTAGATTTACAGAAATTTTCAGTAAGCTATTATATCTAGTCCAAAAAATCTCACTGGCTAATGCGTCTTAGCCACTTTTAATAATTCTAAATGTATTCCATATCTTGCTTTTAAGCTTCTTCACAATAGCTTCAATATCCTTTTTTTCTGGTGGAATATCTTCATCTCCATTGTTAAAACTTGCATGATTTACTGGGCTCGTGACTTCAACACTATGCTCAGATTTCAAGAGTGTCTGAAAGTATTTCTTCCAGTGTTCTTGCAGCCATGTTTCTGTGACCACTAAGCAGCTTCCACCTTCATTTCTCATAACCAGGTTATTATCTCTAATACCTGTCTTCTGCTGATGAGCCTCGTTGTAGAACTTTCTGGTTTCATTGCTGCTTCTGGCTTCTTCTATTTCCTGAAGCTTATCTTTTATCCATTTTCTTTTTTTAGACCTGATGACTCTTTTAGCCTGGTTCCTAGCATCATGGAAATCTTTTTTATTCTGACGTGTGTCCTTTCCCAATCACTTGGTTCTTAATCTATTGTGTGCCTGAATCGTTTCACTACACTCTGCATCAAACCAGGATCAGTTTGGAGGTTTTTGCTCTTCTAGGCAATATTGTTCTACTGCTCCCATGATTGATATTTTCAACTCCTTCCACTGAATTTCCACCTCTTTGTCAACATTCACTGCCAGAATGTTTCTTATACTTTCTTCCAGAATTTTATTATATTGCCTCCTTGTACCCTCATTACTTAATTTGACTCTTGTAAGCTTGCCTGACTTAACAACTAACTACATATTAATGCCCACTTTCTACAAAATTATGCTTTCTTATATTTTAAGAATTGAGGATGTATCATTGATTTTAAATTTATGACTTATTATCAGTATGATCATTTAACTGAATATAAAACAAACGATGAATTAACTAACAAAAAAAAATGATAAGAGTCCATTGTTAATTAAACACATAGCAGGACATACAAATTTTGCATAGTAAATACACAAAAATTCAAATTGTAACTCTTTAATTCAGTAATAAGATTTATATATTATATATTATATATATTATTATATATATATATATATATATATATACATATTTCAGTTCAAAAGGTAGTATAATCTTACAATGATTCAAAAAGTAGTTAATGTGAAGTAGAATGATTAAAGTAGCATTTAGACACAGAAAAATTTGCTTTGGCCCATGCTAATAACAATAACAATAAGACAGGTGGTTTAATAACATACCCATAGGCTGGATTAGAGAAAAAATTTTGTTTAGTAAATTCAGAGCCTTTTCATATTGTTTTTGGTTGTAATAGATTACAGCTTGATTATAGTAAATAATGCAATGGTCAACATCATCTGGGGTTTCATTTTCAAATAAATCTATCCGCCCCTGAAAAAAAAACATTAACACAACAGATAATACCTACATCCACTGTAAAATAAAATATAAAAATACAAGATGAACTTTTGTCCTGTACACAAAACAATCATATTAATTCACAAATACGTGATAATATATGAATACTGAAAACTCCAAGAGGACTGCATAAGTATAGATTAGTTTGTGCCATCATCTCTAAAAGTGTACAGATTTAAATACCTCGGCTCAACAATATATGACCAATTAACAACAATATTAGACCAGTATATTAATCGGAGGAGATCAGTCATGCATGCCTTCATTAGTCCATGGTTCAATGACTTGATAGCCCCTATCCCTCCTTCAGTTAATAATTAATTTATTTTATAGTTTATATTTATCCATTATTTTATTTCTACTGTAAATGTTAGATGGTTAATTATTTCAAATAAACAAAACTAAAGGTACTTAGAAGAAGTCACTTTGAAAATTCGGCTTTTAAGCCCTGTCAAACCATTTCAATGAGATCAATACACAATTGATATTAAAGACCCCTTAAATTTACGTAGACCAAACAATTCTAATAAAAATCATTAGAGCAGATTTTGAGAAAATGGTAAAAATGTGTAAAATTGATTACATCTCCAATTTGATTCATTGGTAAAAATAAAACATAATAATTCTTCCTATTCACAAAATTGGTAAACAAGTTGGATAACTCTAACTAATTAAATGATTCCCAATTGCACATAAAGGCATCATTATTGGCAGTATTCGGTTAACATGAATCTCAAATAACAAAACCTTATTCTACATATAATTTGATACCTCAACTGATTGTAGCAAGAAAACATGCCAGTTTACAAAAATGATAATAAGACAAGATATACTGCACTTCGTAAATTAATATATAATATATATATATATATATATATATATATTTTAAAGATAAATAATTTATAAGATAAATAATAACTAAGTCCACTTCAATAAAACAATAAAATTTCAAATCATAGAGAACAAAATAATCAGAAATACACTACATCTAGGGATAAATAAATAAAACAGTATTTACCTGGTTACATAAGTTAGTAAGTGACTTTTGAAATAGGTCTAGATTTTTATTGACGTAAAGTTCAGCAACTATTCGATTGTGTAGTATCTTTAAATTGTTTGGTTTAATTGAAACTAATAAGGTAAGGTGCTGAAGACATAGTGAATACTTCTTATTAATAAAATCAGAAAATGCCAGGGAAGCCAATTTCTGCTCTTCTGGATTCATCTGAAAAAACAAAATGAATTTCTTCATCAAACATTGGCAAGTTAAAATATTGCAAAAAAATTGACAAAGCATAACAGGAAAACTTCATATTTCAGTATGGTATCAAAAGATCATGAAGTTATTAACTCCAATAAAATCTCTGACAAATGATGTGCTTGAGGAGATATACAGCATTATTAATTTTAAAAAAACTTAATATCAGAAAAATAAAAAAGCAAAGAACTAAGTTTTCAGTGTACAACTATTAATTTTTATCTAACGACTACCGACTCTCTAACTCATACAAAGTACATGCAATGCAAAATGAAACCAAAAAGAACAAACAGCTACATCTTTGCATAAATGGTAACACAATTATCCACAGTAAAGCTAAGCGAAGAGACAGGACTTAACCCTCGAAAAATACTTGATAAAGCTATAATTTTGAATAACAACTGTTAAAAAACCAGGATACGTAGAATACAATAGGATTATTTTTCACTAATAGATTAATAAGAGGCTAAAAAACAAAGTTAGATAATATTTTTTTCACTCGCTTCAAACTTCGTTTTACAGTTATATTTACCATGATCAGCTTTAAATTTTAAATAATTTAAAATCAAATATTATGAAATATTAGTGAGGATATGAAAGTGTACAATGCACATGTTTAGTGTATACACACACAAAGTTAAAGATAAACACAAAGTGATCTAAACATAATTTCATAGTAAATAAAAGATAACTTTTATCATGCCCATTGTTTAAAAATGAAATATCTTAACTAGGCAATAGATCATTTATTGTATTATACGTTTATCAGACCAAAAATCATTAAATGAATATTTTAATTTCTAAACAGAGAAAGTCTTTGTATTTAGATATGACAATGGATATTGTAAGGATAATTTCAATGGGTAATGTTTATAAGTAAAGAATAGTAAATAGTTTTATAAATTCCATGATATCCACGAGTTAATACAAAAACATTTAAATGTCTGCTTAATGAATCACTTTCATTAAACAAATACAATGAATATTGAATAATTATGATTGGACATGAAATAAGCAGAATATGATTATAAAAAATAAAATTTTGGGTGTTTTTAACTTCTTTGGTTAATGAAAATAAATTGCTTAAGGAAAACACAAAAAAATGAAACTATAGTCAGTTAACAGAACGTGTTATAAATTCAAAATTTAATAAAACATACAAAATAATTTACCTTTAAAATTAAAGAAAGTCATAGTTGCAAAATGAATGAACAGGTTAAATAATTTAAAAAATAAATAAATCAAATAATTTTTAAAAAACTAAAACTATAACTTGTTTTATTTTGAAGTGGAAAACGTAAAATACTTTAACAAAAGAAACATACCCTTAAATTCTTTATATCTTCCAATATGTATGAAGTATTTTTAGGTTTAAACTATCGCGCAAAGTTTTTTTTACACTGCTACTTAATAAATTCTCATTAATTATCAGTAACATGTTCGTTAGACAAAAGATAAACTAAATTTTTTTATTTTAACTAGACCATCAAAAGAGCGGTTTGTTTATAAAATAACAGCACTTGGAGGTTATGCAATGTACATACTAAGCAAAGAAGTTCAAAGAAATTTCATAACGACATCTCTATGACTTGATAAAGTACTTAATCAATCAAATATACCAATTTATATTAACATAAGGGCTGCCTTCATGGTCTAACCCAGTTAAATTCTCAATACAAATATTTATCTTAATAAAAAAAATAGCAAGCTTTGTCGGGATGGCCTAGCTCACGCTTCTTGGATATACTTAACTCAAAAAAATCCTAAATTCAATAATAGTAAGATTATACACAAGACAGTCAAAAAAACAGTTTTTATTACACTGCATACAAAGAATATTGTTAATTAGACTTTTCCGTCTGGTGTGAGAACTTGTCTCGTACTTGGTATTACTGGAAAACATTTTTAAATATACCAAAAAGCCTACTGAAAAATCATTTTATCTACACCTAAAACCGGATTTCAAAAGTGAAAAAAAGCTCAAGAGACAGATTTCTGCTCAACATCACGGTGTTGAAGGTTGGTTAATTTCCATATCAGTCGAATATTTTTACTCTAAATTTTCTTCTAAATTGGCCAACTTTAACACTGAATGTTTAATTGTCATTTTTCTATTATCACTACCAAAATTACCCTTATTGAATTAGTAGATAGCGAGTAGTATTATTGTCAAATGTTAGGTAAAGACCGATATCTGATACTCCATATTCTTACGTAGAAGGTCGATAGGTGACTTTGCACAGAAAAAGTGAAACAATTTTTATAGTTGTAATTGAAAAATATAAATCCGTCGACATCGAAAGACGCGAAACCAAGGAAGAAATCAGATAACGGATGAATTTTTACAAACAATATTACTCCAAAGACTATAAAAAAATGTAAAAACTGTTTTGTCTGCTAGTCAATGCATTCTAAAGACAATAGCGAGGACGAAAGACAAAATTTAGGCCATTGCAGCCACTTCTTTATTTTATGCCTACGAACTCAATAAACTTGTTATACTAGATGTTTGGGCAAGTTCTTAAACTGAGCTCATCGCTGCGATGTTTTCGCCTAGCTTAGAGACGCATTTAATAAAAGATTTGATCCAGTCTGTAAAAACTAAATTTTGTCCTATCAATAAGTACGAAATTAAGTACAAAATCAACAAGTACAACTCTACCAGCCAAAGACAAAGGCCGTCTAACAGTTGCTTCGGTCATTTGGTATCAATGAATGTTGGTACCACTTGCTTAGGAACGGTGTTATTATATGTGCTGAGCTTTCAAACCTTTTAAAGAAAACAACCAGAAAAACGACCAAGCTTTACACTTATCAGCAGAATGCGAACGGGACAAAATTCAATCAAACCCATACAAACATTTGGTTGATTCGGGCGCGGAGGTCTTCGCTCACCCCTTCCTCTAACAATATAAACAAAAGTAATTCTCGCTAGTTAGTAAATATTAATTAATTCAAATTTAAAAAATAATAAATTGTTAAAAATAATTTTATTGAATCAGTTTTTGATATTTAGTAACACGGAATAAAATCATAAAATGAAATCCCTCAACCTTCCATCTCCTCGCAAAATCATGCTATTACTCTTATTTATTTTATAAAATTGATAAACAATTTAGTTTTTGTTTGTAAGAATATACATCTCATAAATTGAATTACTACTTTAACTGTAAACATTTTTTAAACCACAATACTACCTCGCTTATCTGTCCTGAGCCATGACCGATTAAAATTAAATTAAAAATTGTCTACGATAATTTATTTATATCAAGTATGTGTATTAATATATGATGCATTTAAATTGATTAGACCAGCGTATTGTAACTTTTCTTGAATGTATGATTTAATTTATGTGTATAAACGATTTTTCGCTATTTAATAGTCTTCACAATGCCAGTTAATTTTTATTTATTTATTTTTTTTTTTTTTGCTCAACCGATCCTAAATATTTCCATCAATTACAAAATAAAAGTGCCGCCTAGGCTATTCAAAAACGTAAAATACAAAATCCCTTTTTTTCACACTATAGCAAAAGTTTGGCTATTTATTCTGTTAATTTTCCCTTTATTAGTTTGCTACCCCATCAATTCTCTTAATATAATTTCACATGTCAAGATTGGTTGTAGTTACTAGCGGATCCAGGATTTAATTTTTTGGGGGAGGAGGGGGAGGGGCTTCAGCCCGAAAGCTGTTTTTTCATAAAAATAACGATAATTTCTTTGGAAAAAAATAAAGAAACTAACTACCTATGTGAAATGGTGTTTAAGTGATTCCTGAAGTTCTTTTAAATGTAATTACACAAGCAATAATACTTTAAGAGATAATTTTTTTCCCATAAAACATGGTTAATTTTACAATTCTGGGAGGAGGCTTCAACCCGAAATCCCTCCCCCCCCCCCCCGTAGATCCGCCCGTGGTTGTAATAAAAACAACTATCTCATTTGTTTCAATAATTTAGTTATCTGAAGCTTACTCATTATGAGAGAAAACAAATTGATTCATCTCTTTTATCCCCGGTTAATCCGATGAGTCAGTTAAACGGAGTTCTACAGCAGATATTTTATAGAAGTGATTATGATGGTATGAAAAATATTTTTCTGTGACTTATAGATCAGTTTTGACAAGTTTTTTTTTCTTTAAAATTTTCAACCACTGTGTGCCGCTTGTTTGAAATATCGGTATGCGCTATCTTTTTTGTGTGTATATAATGAATACAACGAATGCTTTGTCTTTGGCTATGGGACACGAAACAATTTTAGTAGCAACAGATAAAAAACAAAAAGCTTATTAAAAATTATCGGTGACAGGTCGCTTAATAGTATTTCAACATTCTGAAAGAAACTAATTAGGAAATAGAGACTAATTTCTCAGTCATCAAATTAATCGCTCCACTATTTAAAAAATGTACCTCTTTCTAACAAACAACGCTCTTGCAATTATTTCAGGTAAAATTCTTATTTAAAAGGCAAAAATACTTTAAAACAAAATTATAAAATAATGATGAATTTCCAGCATGGGCGTACGCAGAGGAGGGCAATGGGAGGACCATTCTTCCCTTCCTAAATAATTTGAAAGCAAATAAAACATGAAGTAATACAAAAGGTTTGCCGAAAATTCAAGAAAATTATTTTTTTAAATTGTTGTTCTATTTATATAGTGTATTTCATACAAAATATTTATAAATTAATAAACTTTTCCGAAAAAAATGACCGTATTGGCTCCCCTCCCCACTCCAATATGAATGCAGCGCACTACGCTCTTGATTCCCGTCATGTTTTAATTTGTTATGGCTCAATTTAATAGTAAAAAAGTATTCAAATGTTGTCTGAGATTACATTTAACAGTACATTTCGAATTTGGATTGGTTTATTCTTTCGCGCTTTTCTCATTAATGTATTATTTAAATTATTTTCTTCATGTTATAATAATGGTTTATTTTGATTTAATTGTTTATATTGATTTAATTA